GTATGTCTAAGCCTTCTCTCATTTGGAGTGATTTGTTTGAACTTGGAGGAATTTGCTCCCGGAAAGGTGTGGTGGTCATTATCACTGCCTACCAAACACTTCAGTTTATGTGCCTTTCTGGACAATTCTCGGCCCATCTGAAAGGCTGGAGTGCTCTGTGGCTAGTGTTGACCAATGAAAGATGAGAGGTATCACTTCCAGATTGAAGTTACATAAGCAGAGATGATTTGTCCTTCCCCATAGGTGATCTTGGAAGTATGGGGCAAGACAAAGCCTCCATCCTCCTGGACCCCTGTGTGATTACACTGAGCAGAGCCCCCCTGACAACACACTGCAGCCAAATGTGTGATTGAGACATAAATATCTGTTTTACTAAGCAGTTAAGATATGAACTTGGTTATACCCAGGCTCTCCAGATCTCCATGTGTGCATAGTTCACTACCATCTTCTTGTCTTCTGTCTTAGATAATACCAACACTCTGCATAATAGCTCTACAGCCTGGGTCCAGTGATCACTATCTGGCTAGACTGGCTGCTAGAGAATTAGATATGGCTGGTACTCTCTGACTGTTGCTAGGAGCTATGGAGTCGGTTCCAGCCTAGAGTACTACAGTCTATACAACGAAACAAACAACTTCCCAGTCCTGAGCCGTCCTCACAATTGTTCCTGTGCCCATTATTGCAGCCATCGTGTCAACCCATCTCACTGAGGGCCTCCCTCCAATACAATGCCTCTCTCCTTTACCATGCATGATATCCTTCTCTGGGAACTGGTCTCTCTGGACAGCATGTCCACTATATGTACATTTTCCCACCTTTGCCTCTAAGGAGCACTCTGGCCATACTTCTTCCAAGACAGATTCGTTTGTCCTTTAGGCAGCCGGTACTTTTAATATGCTTCTCCAGCACCACGATTCAAATACATCGATTCATCCTCAGACTTCCTGATTCAATATCCAAATTTTACATGCACATGAGGCAATTTGCTAATCAGGAACTCTGGTGGTGTAGTGGGTTACATGTTAGGTTGCTAACCACAAGGTCAGCAGTTTGAAACCCCAAGCCATGCCACAGAAGAAAGACAAGACTTCTACACCTGCAAAGCTTTGCAATTTCAGAAGCCCACAGGGGCCTATTTACCCAGGCTAGAGGGTCACCATGAGTGAGAACCGATCTGATGGCGGTGGGGTTTTGACTAAATCTCGTTAAACACAAGGAACTCAGAGAAAGTTGACTTTCACATAAGCAATGACTGCTTTTTAAGTGTAACTCTCTTGAAATATTTTGGAAATTAACCCCAATCCCAGTGGTCAAGTCGATCCCTCCTCATGCCAACCATCCTTTCCCTGCCATCGAGTCAATTCTGATTCCCAGTGGTCCTATAGGACAGGGTAGAAGCGCCTCTGTGGGTTTCTGAGACTGTAGCCCTTGATGGGAGTAAAGAGCCCATGCATGGCAGGTGGGTGCTAACCTCTGCCCTTTCAGCTCACAGCTCAAAGAGCCCATGCATGGCAGGTGGGTACTAACCTCTGCCCCTTCCGCTCACAGCTCAAAGTGTCAGCACTATGCTACCAGGTCTCAACCCCAAGAGTGTCAACAGAGAACTGCATTCACTAGGGTCTGCAGTGGCTATCATTGTATGTAAATGGATGCACAGGTCTTTCTTCTGAGCCACCTCTGGCATAACTCGGCACTATAACTTTGGTTAGCAGCCAGATATGTTAGCCATTTATACCACCCAGGGATGTGAGATCCTTAACACTAAAAGATATTCATTGTTCACCGGCAATTCAAATGTAGGTGGGCATTCCCTAATTTTATGTACTATATGTGGCAACCCTATTTATGATTTCTTTAATATCTCAAAACATCTTTGGGATTCTTTAGCCTCATGAATGACTAGCTACTTGGTCAGGAGCTTTTTTCCTTCAAGACCTTGTGATGGTAATCACTCCATCACTGCCAGACGCTTACTACTGTATAAAGTTCTAAGACTAGTTAGACTCTACTTTGCAGAGGGGAAGATTTCTTCCTGAAAGTCACCCCTGGTTCTCCAGTCTTGCTTTGTTTTCATTAATTTTGCCTAGGTGTGCGTAAGCTGTTCATAGTGCATTAGCAGCACAGAGAAGGTTCTCTTATTATGTGCTTGATTCATGCATCTGCACATTTCATCTTGTCGCTTCCTCAGGAAGAAACTCAGGGTTTCAGATTCCCTCTTCTGTACTTTTGTCCATCATATTTCTTCTCTGTCATTGCTTTAATCTCTTTGTCTTTTGCTTCTGTATTATAGGAACATTTTTATAGCAACTTCCACATCACTGACTCAATTTTCTGCAGTGTCAATTCTGTTCTTTATAGTTTCCAATGTAGGTTTTAATTTGGCTATGGTGCCTTTGCGTGCCTATATTCAGCCACTTTCGTTTTCATGTGACTATTGTCTAAACATCTCAGCTTCCAGCTTTCATTTCACAATCTCCATGCTTTCTTGAATTATATCGCAATCACAAAGCAAATGCATTTAAAAGTCTACTTCTATGTTTCAGTGTTTTAGATGCACGCTTTTCTTTTGAATTGTGAATGAAATTTCATCTTTTGTATTCAAAATCTCTTTATGCAAAGGGGCTTGGGAACGTTTGTGTAAAAATTCCATTATCTTTTAATTCCATGAATCCACAAGTTTTCTGAAGGCCATTTACATGTCTCTTGCTTTCTCATAACTCTTCCTTGAACAAGGAGCCACTTCTTTATGTCTAAATTTTGCCAATAGAAAACCTAAAGGGACTCTCTCCTCCACACCCCCAACCTGACTTCCACAGAAATCTTGTTTCAGATTTCAATCTTGAAGACCAGTTTATGCATACAAGCCTTGGCCAACGTTCTTGTGTCTATAGATTGTATATCCAGTAGAAAATGGTTCATCTGTCTGCTCTGAAAAGCAGGAGCCACTCTAAGTCTGCAGAGAGTGATTCTGAGAGCGCGTGAAGCCATCCATCCGTGGCTTCCCTTCCCGGGAAGGCATCACCGGACACTAGGATGCCCAGAGTGTAGGTTTCCAGCTAAAGTAGGTGGAGGAGGTGCGTACAAACCTTCTCCGTCCCTGCTTCTCCCACTCCTGCAGCATTCTTGGGAGCACCCCTGATCCTCCAGACTCTTTCCCAGTGCAACCCTTTCATGGTTTCCCACTGATCGCGTCTGCTGTGCTATTTCCAGTATGCTATTTTCCGCTGGACCATGCTGGGGAGCCTCTGTGCCTTCAGCAAAGTACTGTGCCTACATCATTGTTGGTAAGAACTGTTTGATATGCTTCATGTGATAACCGCCCCCTCCCTGCACCACCACCACACACAAAGATCTTCTCTCTCCTCTTTCTTACATGTGCACACATCTGTCTCCATTTCTCAGCTCTCTGAAGTCGCTCTCATTCTCTCTGTTGCACACTATATTCACGTGCACATATACACCACGCTCTCCAGACCACATGCCTGTCACTTGCCATTCTCAATGCCCAGCCTGGCACAACCACCTGTCCAAGTAACCAAGGCAATCCTTACATCCTCAGTGTTGTTTATTGTCTACCCCCCCCCAAATCCCACAAAGCCGTCTCTGTAAAACATAGTAATAATAAAGAGCAGGGATCTATTTCCCCCAAAACTGTGTTCTCTCCCATGTTCATCTGTGATGCCATCCAATGTTACCAGGGCATTAAGTCAATTCCAGAAGTTACTGGAGCCGCCTGCAACCCGGGGCTGACTTTATTCCTCTCTATGCTTGCCAGCAACTGTATCCCACGTGTCACTACTGAACAAGTGGGGGTGGAGGAGGTTTGAGTGGCAGTCTTGTTCTGCAGAAACGATGAATCTGACACACAAAACAAAGACCCTGTGTTTGGTAACTGCAGAGTCTCCCATCAGAGCTGCAACCCCTCAACTCCTTCCTTGGCTGCAAGGGGAACTCTCCAGGGGCAGACACTGGACCATCAAGGACTGCACAGGAAATGGCAAGAAGAGGGTGATGTAACATGTGATATGGACAGTGTGCAGAAGTCCCCACAGGCAAGGGCCAACCACTGCTGATATGTCTGACAGCCCTGCTCTAACATACGTCTTTTTAGTTTAAGATTGCAGAACTCCTTGTGTGTGGGTGACAGGTAGTTGAGATCATTATTTTTTATTCCCCAAACCCACAGGAAAGTCTGGAAGGGAGGAACGAGGTCAAATTCTCCAGTCCAGACAGTCTAGAGACTCTTGAACGCTCACAGATGGAAAGTCTCACTCTCTGACCCCTGGTTTCCATCCATCACAAAGTGGAGATAAGAATACTTAATTTGTAGACCTGTTGTGCAGATGAGGTGAGATCATAGTCCTAAAGCCTTTGGCAGAGTGCCGTAAATATAGTCAGTGCTGAAAGCATATTGTCTGTTACCACAGCATTTTCTCCTGTCCTGTAAAACCGCTGGGCATACACAGATCTTACGTTTCAGCAGACACTGTATTGCCCTTCCTTGTGCCTCACCTGCTCCCCACTCTCTCACCCCATTTTCCTTCAATAGCTTACTTGCTATAATATCCCAGGAACCTTGCAATTACTTGTTGGTTGAATACATAAATAAGTGCATCTCTGATGAAATGGAAGGGACCAAGCCAAGCTAAATCTATTGCCATTAAGTCAATTCCAACTCATAGCAATCCTACCGGACAGCCTAGAACTGCCCCCTAAGGTTTCTGAGGTGCCAGTTATGATGGGCGCAGACTGTCTCGTTCTTTCCTACAGAGCAGCTAATGGGTTTGAAATGGTTGGCACATTTCCTTTAGCAGCCTGGGGAGCCCAAGCAAGTGGAGGTCAAGGCTTTCTAGGTGGTGCTGAGTGATGGTCTGTCATCTGTTCATTACAGATGTATTTTCAGTCCTAAGTCTGACTGGTCTCTATGTGCAGTCCCCTGGCTAGTAGTAGGCCCCCAGGAACCGAGTAGAGGAGCAGACGAGCAACGTAGCTTCATGTACCTTGACTTTGATGGCGCTCGGGTTGTACTGCACCGCATCACCCCACTCCTGCATCAGTTCTGCTGTCGGCAAATCCTTGTATGCCAAGGTGGTGATGTGTTCACTTGCCCCTCCTCGTACACGGACCACCAAATCATCCACCACAGTCTTTCTCTTGTTTCGATCTGAAAGGGATACAGAGGATGGAGCTGGACAAGAAGCATCCCTATGTCGAGGGGACACATGGTCCTAGGAGCAAAGTGGAAGCTCATCCAATCAGACACAGCACAAGTCAGAGATGCGCAAAGAAGGAATGCTTGTCTTGAGCGCTGCTAAGCTATTCACTGAATGAGTCTGTGGAAGAGTAATAGATTGATTGAACAATCAACTGGCAAATATAGATAGATAATAGAAGGGATCGATTCTAGATACTAGAGAGGCAGGTAGAGATAGATGACAGATAGATAAAAAGATAATAGAAATAGATATTTGTAGTATTTTTATTTTATCCTTACAGTAATTTCTCTGTGCTAGGAATTACTAGGTCTTCTGAATATGTGATGAGACTCAGACTGGAGTTGTAAGTCATTTGCCCAGGCCCATGCAGCCCAGAGAGTCACATTTTGAAGAAGATCTGCCTTCCTTCAAAGCCAACGTTCCATTATCAAATGACTTTCACCTCATATCCATCCTGGGGGTGGAGTAGGGGAGATCCCATCTGACTGGAAACGCATTTCATCCCCACCCCACCCCACCCGACCCTAGTCATGCCACACACTGCTGCTAGACCTGAATCTCAATTCTTTTTCCTAGCCTGATAACCTTGGGGAAATCATTTATTCCATGTGAGACTTCTTTTTCATGGCAAACAAAGTGAATCCTGTGAATCTATGTCACGAATAAATGAATCAATAGTAATAATGATTGATCTTCTATTGTCTCTGTAAGTGTTATACATGCATTCATTTTTTTTAACCTTCATGGTGAAATAGGAATTAATATGATCCCCACTTGGCAGGCAGGCAATCTGAGGCACAAGGCATGAAAGAGCTTACCCATCAGTCCTGCACAAGCTCGAAGCTATATATTTCTTTGTGTGTGGCAACAGCGGTAGAGAGATTCAGAATGACTGGACCTGGATGGAGTAGGGCCTCAGTCTCCTTACAACAACGTGATAGGGTCAGGGGACCCTGATGCGACAATGAGCAGCTTTACTTTCCTAGCGTGGCCCGGTAAGACCTCAGCCCTCTAAATAAGTGACATCCATTCTTTTCCCCCCCGTCTATCTAGGGTGTTCTAGATAAAATGATTTGCTTAATTGCTTTTTAAAATCCCCTATTGGGGGCTCTTACATCTCTTATAATAATCCATAAATTCATTGTGTCAAGCATATTTGTACATATGTTGCCATCATCCTTTGCAAAAAATTTTCTTTCTACTTGAAACTTTGGTATCAGCTCATTTCTTCACTCCCACCATCATGAACACTTGATAAACTATAAATTATTATTATTACTTGCATATCTTAAACCATCCACTGTCTCCCTTCACCCATGTTTCTGTTGTCCATCATCCTGGGTGGTGTTGGTGTTGGTTATACATCGATCATTACAACCGGTCCCCCTCTCTCCCCCCACTTTTCCCCTACCCTCATGGTATCACTACTCTCATTATTGGTCCTGAGGGGCTTATCTGTCCTGGATTCCCTGTGTTACAAGTTCGTATCTGTACCAGTGTACATGCTCTGGCCTAGCTGGATTTGTAATGTAGAACTGGAGTCATGACAGTGGTGGTGGGGGGAAAGCATTAAAGAACCAGAGGAATGTTGTGTGTTTCGTTGGTGCTGTACTGCACCTTGGCTGGGTCGTCCCTTTCTTGTGATCCTTCTGTGAGGAGATGTCCAATTTGTCTACAGATGGTCTTTGGGTCTCCACTCCATCCTCTCCCTCATTTGCATCAACAATTGTTTGTTTGGGGTCTTATGATACCTAATACCTGATCCTCTTGATGGCTCATAATCACTCAACCTGGTGTGCTTCTTCCATGTGGACTTTGTTGCTTCTCAGCTAGATGGCCACTTGTTTATCTTCAAGCCTTTAAGACCCCAGACACTGTATCTTTTGATAGCTGGGCACCATCAGCTTTCTTTTTTTTTTGCATTCCCCAAATTAGCTTTATTAGTAGTTAAACTGAAAATTGGCTCTCCGTCAGTCTTTCCTTTGTTGTTTTATTTCTTTAAAAAAAATCAATTTATTGGGGCTCATACAATTCATCACAATACATAGATCAA